AGCACGCGAAGCGAGGAGCGAACGGCGGAGCGGTGCGCGGCGGCGGAGGGGCCCGCGGGCGCGGAGCGGTGGAGCGGAGGGGCCCCGCGGGCGGCGGGCGGGAGGCAGCGGCGCCGCCCGAGCCCCGATGCCCGGCGGCCGGAGCGGGGCGCGCAGCCGGAGGTGACCGGGGGGGATCCCCGGGAGCGGAGCGGGCGCGGCCCCCCCATGCCCCGCGGGGACGGCGCCGCGGGCGGCAGCGGAGCCGCGCGGGTGTAGCGGCCCCGCGCTGGGGGAGAGGGGCGCGGGGGCGGCCCGCGGAGCGGGGATGACTCTATCGGGCGGCGGCAGCGATATGTCCGGCCAGACCGCGCTGGCGGCCGAGGACGTGGATATCGACGTGGTGGGCGAGGGAGACGACGCGCCGGGCAAGGACGGGGACGGCGAGGCCCGCAGCCCCGCCGCGCTGCCGCGGCTGCCGCTGGACGAGGCGGCGGAGCCCGGCGAGCCGGGAGCGGGCGGCGAGAGCGGCAGCAGCGGCAGCGGCAGCCCGGCCCCGGCGGGCCCCGAGGGCGGCAGAGGGGGCGGCGGCGGCGGCGGCGGCGAGGAGGGGGCGAGCGGCGGGGGAGCGGCGGCGGCGGCGGCAGCGGGGCAGAGCAAGCCGAAGAGCAGCCTGGTGAAGCCGCCCTACTCGTACATCGCGCTCATCACCATGGCCATCCTGCAGAGCCCGCAGAAGAAGCTGACGCTCAGCGGCATATGCGAGTTCATCAGCAACCGCTTCCCCTACTACCGGGAGAAGTTCCCCGCCTGGCAGAACAGCATCCGCCACAACCTCTCGCTCAACGACTGCTTCGTGAAGATCCCCCGCGAGCCCGGCAACCCGGGCAAGGGCAACTACTGGACGCTGGACCCGCAGTCCGAGGACATGTTCGACAACGGCAGCTTCCTGCGGCGGAGGAAGCGCTTCAAGCGGCACCAGCAGGAGCACCTGCGGGACCAGACGGCGCTCATGATGCAGGGCTTCGGCGCCTACGGGCTGGCCGGGCCCTACGGCCGCCCCTACGGGCTGCCCCCCGGCGCCTACCCGCACCCCGCCGCTCTGCAGTACCCCTACATCCCGCCCGTCGGGCCCATGCTGCCGCCCGCGGTGCCGCTGCTGCCGTCGGGCGAGCTGAGCCGCAAAGCCTTCAACGCGCAGCTCGGGCCCAGCCTGCAACTGCAGCTCAGCAGTTTGGGGGCGGCGGGCTCCATCGTGAAATCCGAGCCCAGCAGCCGCCCGTCGTTCAGCATCGAGAACATCATCGGCGGCCCCGCCGCCAGCTCGGCGCCCAGCGCGCAGACTTTCCTGCGGCCGCCCGTCACCGTGCAGTCGGGCCTGGTGGCCCACCAGCCGCTGGCGCTAGCCAGGACCACCGCGGCCATCGCGCCCATCCTCAGCGTGCCTACCAACATCATCGCGGGGCAGTTCCTGCAGCCCCCCGCCGCCGTGCAGGCCAAGTGGCCGGCGCAGTGACCCCCGGAGCGGTGACCCCCGGCACGGTGACCCCCCGGACGTATCTCTGGGAAACGGCGGAGGTCGCTTTCGGGGTTTTTATTTTTCTAACAGAGGCGAAGTGACGGTCGCGTTTAGGAGCCGGGAGGGCTTTCGCTTTTTTTGAAGGTTCCAGCGCTCCGAGCGGTTTTATCCGAAATAAGCGAACGAACGGGGAAAAAAAAAATGTATAAAAATATTAATAATAAGCGGGGGAAATTTAAAATATTAAACGAACGAACAACAACGAAAAAAAAAAAGAATTTCGGAGGAAAAAAAAAAGGAGGAAAACGCTGTCGTTCTATTATAGAAGTCTGTTTATATATGAATGAATATATGTATTCTAAATGTTATCCCTTCGTGTTGTACACAACTTTGTAAATAAATTTTTCAAACGCTCCGCCCGTGTGCGTGTGCGCGCCGACACCGCGGCACTGCGCTGCGCTCCGGAGCCGCCGCTCTGCGCGTAATGTCCGCGCAACCTCCGCGAGCAGCGCGCAGCCGGTCCGGTTCTGCCCCCCGCTCCTTTCCAATCGCTTCCTAACAAACCCGAACTCCGATCCCCGGGCAGATCTGAGGGATCCGATCCGCGCTTCGTTGTGGTTTTGTTTGTATTATTGTTATTTATTATTATTGCTATTATTTTGATTATTATTATTTTTTTTATCCCCTAATTGTAGGGATTAGCCGAAGCCCAACGCGCTGCGCCGGACCGTCCCCCTTTCCTTCCCCAACCGGAGCGCTGCGGTGCGGCTTTGGCGGCTGTTTCTGAGCGAAATGGCTCTCAGGAAAGCTTGGGGCGATCCGAGAGTCCGCGGTTTCCATTGCGGGAGGACGGCATCGCGGAGCGGCGGCACGGCGCCGAGCTTTCGTTTGCAGCGCCGAGTGCCGGGGAGCGGCTCCGCGGAACGGGAACGGCCTTTTTTAGTTCGTTCCGAAGGGGCGGCCGCGGGATGGAAGAAAAAAAAAGCCAAAACCAAAAACAAAAACAAAAACCCACGACATTTCTTGTGCGGTTTTTGTGGCTGAAATCACGGCGGTGTTCAGAGCCGGATTCGGTCAGCGCTGCTTTGGCCGTCGCGAGTTTCGTTTTGGCCGCGTTCATTTTCCGCCCCGATAAATCCGCGGTGTTCGTTTCGGGACGGGGAGCGCGGGAGGAGCGGGGTCGCAGCTCAAAACAAAAGCCAAGTGTCCTCGGCTCTGCCGCGGGGCTGTACGTGTTATTTCTCCCCGAAGTCAACCTTCGCACCTCCGCACATCCCCTCCGAAACACACCGCGCGGCTCCGCCACTCGGGAACGTTCCGGCTGTGGCGGCAGCGCTGCGGGAACGGCTGCGGGAACGGGGCTGAGCGCTGCGGGAACGGGGCTGAGAACTGCGGGGACGGAGCAGAGCGCAGTAGGAAGCGCACAGAGCGCTTTCGGTGCGGAGCAGCGCTGCTCTGCGCGGCCCAGGGCTTCGCACCGGCGGCTATTTGTAGTGTGTCCCCCACCCCGGGATAAATAATAAATAGAGGAAGGAGCCCCGGCCTGCGTTCACTTGTAGGCTCCAGAAGCTGCTGAGCCCGGGCTTCCCGGAGCCGCCGGGTAACGGGTTCATTCCACGGCTGAGCCTTTTGTTGCTTAGAAAATGACTCGCTCATATTTCCGCGCGTAGCGGCGATACCTCGGGCTCGGCATGTGCCGCTCGGCCGAACCGGAGGCGTCCCGGCCCGGCCCCGCGGCCCTCCCTCCCCTTCTCGCCGCCTTTTCCCCACTGGAGGACAACGGCGGAGCGGCTCCGGAGCGGCCGCGGCCGGGAGAGGGGCAGCCCCGGGACGCGGGGCCCGGCGGGCAGGTGAGGGCTGGGGGCTGCAGTGCCGCCGCGGGGCTGCAGGGGGCGCGGGGACCGAAAGCGGGACCCCCGGGGGGGGCGGCATCGCCGCGGTACCGGGCAGGCGGCGGGGAGGGGGGGAACCCGAGCCAGCATCGGGCGGCGATCCGACACCGACACAGAACGGCTTTTTCTTTCTCTTCATCTTTTTTCTTTCTTTCTTCTTTTCCCCCGTTGTGGGTTTTGTTTTTTTTTTTTTTCCCCTTTTTTTTCCCCCCTTTTTTCTTTCCTTTTTCATTTTTTTTCTTTTCCTTTTTCCCCCTTTCCCTTCTTTTCCCCTTTCTCTTCTTTTCCCATTTCTCTTTTCCTCCCTTTCTCTTCTTTTCCTCTTTTTCTTTCCCCTCTTTATATCCCTTTGCCTTTTTTTTTTCTTTCCTTTCCCCTCCCTTTCTCCTCTTTTTTCCCTTTCTCTTTTTTCCCCTTTTCTCTTCTCCCCCCCATTACTATTCGTTATTTTTCCCTCTTTCCCACCTCCTCCTCTTTTATTTTTTATGTCTCTTTTCCCCTTTTTCTTTTTTTACTTTATTTTTTTTCCCCGTCCTCTCCCTTTTCCATTCCCCAAACCGTCCGACGCATATGGCCAAACTTGACGCGGCCGCTGACAGATGCCTATTAGTATAAGACGTGTCATGTTGGTCTCTGGGGTGCATTGAAAGTAACTAGATCCTAAGCACTGGGAAAATGACCGCACTCCGCAGCACGGAGAGTTTACTCAGAGCCCCCCCAGCCCCGACCCCTGCGATTATTTATGACAACTGCGAGGCCCCGCTCAGAGAAAGGTGCAATGAGGTTTAGTCCCGCACCCCCGAAGCCCGCATCGCCCGGGAACGGGAAAGGACGGATCCGTCGGGGCCATTCCCTCGGGGCTTAAGGTTTACGGGTGCCGAGCATTAAAAAAAAATAAATCGGGAAAACCCCCCTTTTGTGGTTATTTCCAAATGTTTCTTTATTGCAGAGCGATATTCCAGAGCGGGGATCTCCCACCCGGGGAAAACGCGCCCTAAGGGCGAGGAGTGTTTTCCTCCCTCCTTTGGGGCCGCGGCAATGGGATCCCGCGGTGGGGGTGCGGAAGATGCGCGTTGGGAGCGGGCTGTAGCGGAGCGCGGATCGCCGGGGGACATGGCGCATCCCGGGGTCAGAGCGAAGCGTTCCCGGTCCTAACCACGAAGCGTTTTGGACTTAAAAGATACAAAGCAGAGGTGTGACGCCCGCGGAAAGCGTGAGCGGCAGTGAGTGTTCAATGTAGCAGGTAGGGATGAACTCAGCGCGTCGCCCGGACTGAGCAGGGAGCAGACGCCGCAGCCATAAAACGCACTTAACAGTCTATTTAATAGTGGCGAGGTCCTTGGAAACGCAATCTCCATACTGATCTCGCTTTTTTCTTTTTTTTCTTTTCTTTTCTTTTTTTTTTTTTTTTCCTAAAAATAGGTGAGGAAGGTAGAACCTTCCCTTCCCATTGAAAATGTGGCATTTCCTCTATTTTATTAACTAAGACAACTTCGGTAATGAGGGATTCGGTAACGCCGAGTTCGGTAAGCAGTAAGGAAGGGCTCGGTGAGCGAGCCGGGGATGTACGACTTTACCAAGATCGCAAAACGAGAGCGCTCTCGAGCTGGAGGCTGGGTGAGACCCCCACGTCCCCGGGGCAAAGCGCCAATGGCCCAAAGACAAAAAGCCAAAAGCCAAATGCCATCGCCGTCCCCTCTCGGGTCCGGGAATCCCGTGGGCATCGGGGAACAGAGCAAATCTCAGCCTGCCTCTGCCGACTTTCATGAGGTGCTGGCGTTTCGGGGGAAAATAATAACAAAATCCGTCTTCCCGCAGGTTGGTTTGGTGTTTGCAAGCATGTGTCCTTCTGCTCTTGCTAGGGAATCAGGATGGGCGAGGATCGGGGCTCACGCGGTGCCCGCCGGGCGGAGCTGGGAACAACTTCTCGCAGCCGCGAACCGCCCGTTCCCGCTGCCACCGGCCCTGGGAGCGACTTTCTCGTTATTCCGACCGCCTTTCGCCCCGGATTTCTGGGGCAGCCGGAAGGAATTTGCCTTACCCGCGTTCGGTTTTCCATCACCCAAAGGGATGGCGTGAAGAGCCCGGCAAACTCGCCGGAGCCTCCCGAGAGCGCGAAGGGTTAAGGAAAGCCGTTTGTCTGCTCATTATCGGTTTCTCTTTACTACTGAGAACCGAACCCGAGCTCCGCTCGTATCAACGTGTCCTTAATGCCTTTTCCAGTCATTGATCTGGTCAAAGTCACCGCAGAAATACTAGTGACAGAGACTCAATTCCAGACAACGTGACCAATGCAAGTATTTAGAAGGCATTCAATAAAAAAACCTTTCCCGGAGAGCGAACGATTTCACCTTGCAACAAAGAGCGCTCGGCTAATTGAAATAATGCACTCGGATGTGCGGCCGGGCTGGAAGCCGGCGGGGGAGGGGCTGCACGGTGCGGGGCCGGGGAGCCCCGGGGGGGGGCGAGGAGACGCAGCCCGGCGCCCGAATCCGAACGGCCGTAAGGAGGGAGCTGCAGGGCCGAGCGACCGCAGCTCATACCTGGAAGCGTCTGCTCCCATCCCTGCCTTCTTCTCACCTTCTTCGTAATCGATTCGATGTTGGGATTATGTTTATTTTACGGATCTATCAGCCCCCAGACGCCCCTTAGGATCTGATTCATTTCTCGCGCTAGGTTTAATTCAGCAGCTACTCGCAGGTAGATTAAAATAAATGTAATAAATGTAATCTATCATTTTCATGAGGTTTATGGCTCCAGACACACGTCAGGGCAGACTGCTGTGTGCACCTGTGTGAGGCCACGAGCTCCCTGTCCCCCCGTACCTGCCTGTTTGGGGTGGCATTCAATTGCTGGGGATGCTGCCATTGCTGCAGGTGGAAGCAGCTCTGCCATCTCCACGTCATTTGTGCTCTGTTTGCAAACAGTCGGGATTATGGAAATGTGTGTTACTGCATTGGAAAACCTTCAAGGGGAAAAAGCCATCTCTGGTGGTACTCAATACTAAATGTATTTAAACACAAGTATGCATGTACTGTTGGTGCATTTTGGAAAGAACTCACGCATGCTTAAAAAAAAAAAAAAAAGCAGAATTGTATCTTCGTGGAATCTTGTTACTTTAATGTTCATTCTATGACATGAGATCAGATCCTTTTTTATCATACACTTCCACCTTTCAGTGGTTGGGTTGAAACCTGTAATGAAATGGTTTAAATGGGTTGGGCTCGTGCTTTACATGTTGGTCAGCCCTTAAGAGGTCGGGTGGTCAGAATCGCTGTAGATTTCTTCAGACTGCTCTGTTCTATTTCCCCATCCCTGGAGTCATTCAAGGCCAGGCTGGATGTCGCTCTGGGCAGCCTGGTCTGCTGGTTAGTGACCATGCACATAGAAAGGGTTGGAACCAGATGAACACTGTGGTCCTTTTCAACCCAGGCCATTCTATGATTCTATTCTACTCTATTCCACTCTATCCTATCCTACCTTCTATTTTATTCCACTCTATTCCATTCTATTCCATTCCATTCTATTCCTACTCTATCCTATTCCAGCCCCTTCCAACCTTTTAGCCCTTGGATCCCAGCCCAAGGACAGTCCTGCTGGCAACTGATCGGGAAGGTTTGGCCATGAGAACCACAGCATGTGCTCTTATTTACAGAAATAACCCGTTTTCTATTAAATTGCACACCCTACCCTGAGAGAAGTGCCATAAGAGGAAGCTCTGAACAACAGAGACTTCCTAATACTGATAAGGGACGTAGGAAGCTGATGTGGGATTGATCAGGCTGAGCATGCACTCTGCCAAGGCCTCCATGAGGATCACGGAGCCCACAGCAGAAGGTAGTACAGCAGCAGCTGCTGACCAGGCCGCTCCTCAGGTCCTGTTTCCACACACAGCCGCTGACAGCTGCTTCCCGAGCTCCGGCTCTGCGAAGAACAAACCCTCCTGCTGCCACTTCCCTTCTGTAACAAGAAAAGAATCATAATAATTTGTCAAAAAAAAAAAAAACCGCTTCCGTGCACCCCCCCCCCCCCCGCAGCCGCTCACAGCCCCACAGCGGCCCACGGCCACCTCAGCGCCAACACCGCGACCCGAGCTGCGCAGGCGCCAGGCTCAAGCGCATGCGCACTGCGCCCCCCCTCGCCGCCTTAGGGCCTGGAGGAGGCCGGAAGCGTTTTCGAACGCGGAAGCGCGCGCGCGCGGCCGTTGTGTCCAGTAAGGCGGGAAGCGGGGAGGCGCGCGCCGCTCACCTCAGGGCTCGGCGGGACGGGACGGGCGGCGGGAAGGACAGGGCAGGGCAGGGTCAGCGCTGCGATCCGTGCCCGCGTGTCGGCTGAGGAGGAGCGTGGCGATGCGGGGCGGGTGCGAGGAATGAATGTGTCAGAGCTGAACGCCTGACAGGGAGAAGGGAACCCGGTGGGCCTTTGGGTAAGCGGTGTCGCTGAAAGCAGAGGAATTCTCAGCTTGATGCACGTTCCTGAGGGGCGAAGGGCGCTGCTGAGCCGTGCGGCGGCATCTCCCCTATTACCGCCTGAAGGGCCGCCGGCTCCTTGCCCCGATGACAGGGATTTTTTTGTGCCTAAAGGCGCTGTTTTGTTTCCAGGCGCCCTCAGGTGCTGCTCCAAAGGCAGGGGGCAAAGCTGGAGCTGAGGCCGCCTCCTGGAACCTCCCTGAGCGCTGGGCTCTGTGGAGTAGCAGCGGTTAAAGATCCCTGCTTTGCCACCTGGTTAAAGCACAGCGTTGGCTTCTTGAGGTATGGGATAATTACTGAAGGGGAAGAGGAGGCAGGGAAGGATATTATAAGGACCGTCAGAGTTGGCTGATGATGAAACGTGCATAGGGTTGCAGCATTTAGTGTTCAGATCAGCATGGCTGTGCTGTTCCAGCAAGGTGTAGCAAAGGATGTGCACAAAGATCAGCGTTCACATTTCAGCCTATAGATGGGGACCTGCTGCTGTCACAGACCTGTATTGCTCAAAGAACTTTTATTTCCCCTCCGTGCTGGGGGGTCCCAGCTTTCCACAAGTGATAAGTATGAATTTAGTTTGAGCAGGACACGTCTTGTGATGTTGCTTTCCTGTTAGTGAGACAGCCTGGTAGTGCCTTTTTTCTGGTATTGTCAACTATATTGCACTCATTTGAGCTGGCTGTCACCTCTTTAGCAAGGAGAGGCCCTGGCAGCTGTGCCCAGCTGTCCTCTGCTCCACAGTGCCTCACTGACATGAGGGGATGGTGCTGCTGGTACAGCTGAAGGACACCCAATAGATGTACTGTTATTTTCACTGTCAACTTTAGAACAGTTTCTTTTATTTTAGTTCTTTTCTCTTTCTGAGAGGCTGAACTTTAGTTTTGACTCTTCTGAGGCAAATTTTGCATTTTCCATTGATGCTTTTTTTTTTTTTTTTTAATAGGGCAACATTGCCATTTTCCAAGATTGATGCACGTAGCAGAGTCAACATTTCTGTTTGTATGATTTTGGAATAACTTTAAGCCAGCAGAGAATTTTCTACTAGACCTCCATTTTCCATAACTCAGCTATGCTGTTTTTACTCCAGAAATTGACATTAACTTAATACCATATATTCACTGCTTTAAACTGTGTGCTTGTTAACAACATTTAGTCCTTTTTTCCCCCTACTTTATTGATCTAGGATTGTATACACGTTTCTTTGAAGGTGCTTTCCTCTTTCAGGCACAAATACCAGTTCATGGACTATTGAAGATACTTAACTTTCTGTTGTCCCAGGTGAAACATGCTTTGTGTGTATAACAGATTGTGCAGAACTTATTAAGGTGAAGCTTAATTACATACATGTATGTACAGAATAGATTTAATCTGATAGCTGAGTTCTTCAAAGTAATTTGAAGTCTTCTACTCTCCTATTACTGTTTTTATGTGGTTGCCAGATCTCCTAGCTCAGAATTAGGAGAACTTGTTAGTAGTGCCATTAAATGGCTAAGAAACAAAACCAGATGGTGCTGTAGCTATGTGTTTTTTTGTTTGTTTGTTTTTTCAGGTACCTTTGGCTTGTTACAAAGAGAAGCTATGGAGAAGTGGAGCTTAATGACAATTACTGTTTTACTGGCACTTACTGTACGCTGGACTGTATCGCTTGGTTCTTATTCAGGTAATTCTTGTTCACAGTCTGTAGCACAACCATTTGAAGGTGAATAATGGAGCTTGTGGTAAATTAAAGTAAACTTGGGTAGGAAATAATAAGTAGGAAGCAGTGTGCTACCTCTAGTATTGCTGTGGCTTAGGACCTATTTGCCTAAGGCTGGTGTAATAGCTTGGCTGCTTTGGTAAGAATAAGCAGAATGATACATATCCCAGCTGCGTGGGGGGTGCAGGGAGGGTCACTAATGCTTTGGGAGCAGCAAAGGAATGGCCGGCTGTCCCCTCCTATGCCTTTGTCACTCCTGTAGTTGCAGTGTATTACTACAGTTCAGCCATAAATTTGTTTAATCTTGTCCTTTAAGTTCTGGAACAGATGTAACCTTAACTTATATTTAGATAAAACTGTGCTGGTGATAATGAAGATGGTATAAAGGTGACACAAAGTGAGTGATTGCGCTGTGTCCCGTAGCTATACTTACTTAAGGTTGTTTACAACATGAACTAGAGCTATATTCTTTTAATAGATGAGTATTTCTCCTCCCCATCTCCTAATGCTTGCAAAGAGCTGGCAAGTTTTTTTGAACCTCTTGGCGGCATTCAGCGCTGTGCATACACGTGCACAAAGATCTCTCTGCGGGTTTGTATTTTTAAATGCCTCGTTATGTTCAGTCCCCATCAGCTAAAAGAATCACAAGCTCAGTCAAATTCTAGTTTGCTGTTAAGGCAATTGGGAACTTCACCCCTGAGCTGTTCAGTAACATTCAAAGTGATTTTTGAACTGGTGACTCCTGAGTTTTACTTACATGAAGGGATTTGCTTGAAGATAAATTGCAGGTGTGACTTGTTACATAGTTATTTTTAATTTGCTTTCTGAAAATGCCCTCGTAAAAGGTCTGTGATGCAGGCTCTCTTCTGCCCGTCCGTGTGCAGAGAGGCAATCTCGGTGTTGCTGAGTGACAGTAAATTTCTGTTGTGCTGTGCATGTTTTCATTACTGACTGGATTCTTCCGAGTTGAAAAGAATTGCAAACCAACCCAGGTTCTGAGAGTCTTAAAATAGTGGCTGAATTAAAAAACACGTTTTTCTCTATTTTTTCATGTGTCTGTATGCACACACTTATTTCATACACAGTGACCATATAACTTCTTTTGCAATAGGAAAATCTGAATCCAGTCCAATCCAGCAAATTATCAAAGCGCTTGTTTAACTTTCAACGTTGTCTAGGGGGAGAAAATTAATGTGAATGTTGGAGCTGTCAAATACAGAAGCATGCTAGAATTCCTCCCTCCCATCACCCTGCTTTGATT